AAGTCAGACACAGGGAAAGGTGCCCCTGCCAGGGGCCCACCCCCCACCTCGCCAAAGCATCTGGGAGCCTGAGCCTTTCAAATTCTTTTTTCCTTTAAGAAAAGGGCAGAATCGTGAATCCAGGTAGAGACTGAAAGGGAAGAAAATGAGGAATCAGCACCGAGGCCAGTGGGAGGATGTCATGAACCAGGAGCCAGGAGTGTCACGTCTGTCACCTCCCTGCAGCCGGCGGGGGGTGGGGGGCTTGTTTTTGTTTTGTGTTGTCCAAGGAGCCTGAGCAACTGCAGGGCTTGGGATTTCATGAGGGTTAGCTGAGCACCTGCTGCTCTCAGTCAGGCTAACAAACAGCAGCCACATGAGCAACGCACAGGAGGAGGAGGAGGCCCAAGGCGAAAACTGAAACTTGTTTTGAGAAGAAACAGGGACTGGTGTCTGCTGACGCTGATAAAGCCACCCTGCTGCCTCCAGGCAGGGTGACGGCATGGCTCTTTGTGGCATCTCTGAGATCAGGGGTCTGTGGCACCACTCACCTTGGGAACAGGCACTGCAGCTGATCGCAGGGAGGCGGAGTCTCTGTCTCTGTTCACCAGCAGGCAGGACAGTCCCTCCTCAGGTCTGCCCTGGAGGCTGGTGCCTCTCTGCCACCAGCCACACTGGACAGCTGCCTGGAGCTTGCTGAACAGGGGCTCTGAGCCCCACAGCGGGAGCTGCAGAAGTCTGTCCCTCCACCAGCAAACCAGGCACCCGAGACCCTGACGCACTGGGCTGGTGGGGAGGTGGCAGGGCCTGACTTATGGGGCTCCTCTGCTTGGGGTGAACCCAAGGACTGGAATCCAAACGAGCATGACCTGGAAAGCAGCGTCCAGGGGGCGTGAAACCACTCCCCACCAGAAGGACAGGGGACACCAAAATGTGGCCCTAAGTCAGACGTGAGCATACCGACCGAGGGGCACAGCCAGGCTCCCTCCTCACATGGCCTCTGTGGACCCCGAGGGAGCAGAGGACAGCGGATGAACAGAGGAATTGCCACCTTCGGAGCCTGGGGACACTGGCTATCCGCTTCCTCCTGGGAAAACACGTGCCATCCCTGGCCCTGAGGGACATGGCTGTATGGGACCATTCACAAATTGTACTAAAAAAGAAACGCCTCTTCTAGCCAGACACACAGTGATGCAGGCCCGCAATCCTGGCCACTTGGGAGGCTGAGGCAAGAGAAGCTCAAGTTGGAGGCCAGCCTCAGCAACTTAGTGAGACACTATCTCAAAATTTAATTTTTTTTTTTTTTTTTAACACTGGGAATATAGCTGAAGGACTGGGGTACAGGTCAGCGGTCAAGAGCCCATGAGTTCAATGTCCAGCACACTCAGAGAAAAGGTCTCTTCTGATCTCGTGACACAATGGTACTCTGCTGGGCCACAACCCCTCTCTAAATATAAGGCCAGAAACATGTGGGTATTTAAAATCATGCCTCGTTTAAAACACACCTGGGTAGGTAAGGAGAGCTGACGATCTTAGAGCTGACGATCTTAGAGCTGACGGGGCAGGCCAGACACTCCACGCAACATGCCCCTCAGTTCCAGCAGCCCCAAGAGGCCGTCCTGCCATGGCCTGTTGCACGCATGGAGGCTGAGGCTCAGGCCGCTGTCCCACACTCTGCGAGGAGCGCGTGGCTTGCTACTTCACTGCGTGTCTCTACACCCACTGCTTTCAGGAGAAGGCCAATGTTAAAATCCATAAAACACATAAAGCAGGGTCCATACCCCAGCTACGCTGCTGTGTGGAGATCTTGCCTCCGCCTCTCCCTGGCTGTGTGACCTTACAGAAACCACCTAACTCCTCTGTGCCTTGGTGTCCTTAGCCTGCACACTGGGAAGAGCGCTGCTGTCTGACCACAGTAAGGGCTACTACGAGGACTGAATGAGTTGACATTCGTGAAGGGCTTGGCACTGTCCCTGTGGTGCAGTGTCACTGAACCACAAAGTAATGCTAGAGGATGTAAAACGGCAGGGGGAGGGAAAAGGCAAACTCAAGGAGGGGAGACGCGTGGAGACCCTTCCGCAATCGCCCACCCGGCATCCCTGCAGGCAGGCTTCCACCGCCACTCACTGGTATCGGGCCCAGACGTCGCCCCTCACAGAAGCCACATGGTTTCTACTTGAGCCACGGGATCTGGCCCCACCCTGTAGCCCTTTGCAGGGGAAGAGAAAGCTGGTCTCACTACAAGGCCAGGCACAGCTGCAGGAGAGGCGCATCTGCAAGGCACGCACTCTCCCTGGCACTGAGCAAGAGCCTGAGTCTGGAGGCTCTGAATCTCAGGGCAGTCAAACCATGCTCTGGAGGGGCTGAGACCAGCCATGTGTAACTAAGGGAGGCACCGAGAACACGGTGCCTGCTACAGGGCTCTGCCTGCTCGCAGCAGCTCTGCCCTTCCCAGGGTGCCACACTGGTCTTAGCTTTCTGGAGCAGGGTCTCTGGTCCCTAGTCCCCTGCGGGCTCCCTAGGGTGAGCTGCTCCCTCTGCTCTGGAGGCGCAAGCCTGGGTACCACACCTCGAGTGACTCGTTCTGGACCAGTGGCACCCTGTGTTCTTCAGCTCCACTTGGAAAGGGTCCAAGAGTGAAGGGAACACAGAGCAAATAGAAAAACCAATACTCTAACAGCCCTCTGAAGCATCTGGATCCAGCCGCTCCTGAAGCGAGCAGCACTACTGGACTCCCTCGCTTACAGGAGCCAGTTATCACCCTCAACTTGTAGGCCTGGTTCTCCTTAAGACAATTCACGCTAGGTCTGTACGACCTGCAAACCAGTCTGTTCTGGAAAACACAAGTCAACAAATAAGCACCAGGACGCAGCCTAGCAGCCGTGGCCAGCTGACAGTGGGCACTGCAGCCACACTGAGCCAACAGGCCTGAGAACCTGCCATGCGAGACCAGGATGCGTGATTGACAGGTGGTCTCCAAGGCAAGACGGAGACCCCCAACGTCCCCAGAGGCAACAGGGACTTTCGCTCACAGCAATCAAGTGCAGGCCCTGTTCCAGTTACCCTGAGAAGCCTCCCTTTAGTACTAGGGCAGGTCTGAATTGCTGTCCCCTCCCTCCCTCTGTGGTCTCTCCCCACATCTGAATCTAGCTATCATCTTATCTTACACATCCACAGACACATACCTCCCATCTACAGATAGGCATCTCACGAGTGTCTGCACCTAGATCTCTTAATTGTCAGCTTGCGCAGTGGAGCATCTGGGCATTGCCAGGGCTAAATGTCTCCAACCAGTGACCCTGGAGCCTGGCATCCCCTTCCAGCTCTATGGTGGATCCAGGTCACGCAGCGATCCTTCAGCTCTAGGGACTTTGCAATAGTCAGTCATAAGGGGCATCAGGGAGATGTTCACCTGGGGTCAGTGCAGAGGAAGGACTTAGAACTCGGAAGGCTCTTCTGCCCAGTTCTTTCCTCTCCTTAGATAAATATAATTAGGCAAATGATCGGGAGATAGCAAAACAAAGATCTCATAATGATTGATTTATACCAGAAACAGAGCAGAGTATCCCCAATCTGAATGACAGTGACTGGTTTAAACAGAGCATCACAGCTCTCGATATTTAACGGCCATTTTGTTCTCTTTTTCCCCAGTAAAAATATTGGTTATTATTGCCTATGGTCATGCATAGGCTGGGTCCATTTGGACACCATTACACAGCACAGAGTATCATCTGATGCAACTCAGTCCTCACCCTTTGCCCTCTCCTTCCCCTCTCCCCTTCCCTACTCTAGTGGTTCTCCTTCCATTTATTTATAGTTTTTGAAAATTTGTGCTTTATAGATACGTGCACAACTCTCTAAAAGTAATTTTAGCACTTAAGTTTTCAATAACCACATGATGCTCCTGACGTGGAGGAGTCCAGCTGGGAGGCTATGAAGACGACTCACAGGCTTTATGCATTAGTCAAAAGACTGCCTTCACCAAAATGGCTCCCAGTGGCACTGGGTGTGCCTCTCAGGGGGCTTTATTGCAGTATTTGTATCCAGGTCCGAAGAGATAGACAGGGAGACTGTCGTCACCCTGTAAAGGCCACACCAATGGGCCCGCCTGTTTTCTTGCGGCCCACATGCGGGAGAAACGCGTCAGAGAAAGGATGGCCCCCCAACCCCCCTCTATGTCTGTAAGCTGCCGTGCACCCACAGAGGGGGGAGCAGCACAGGTGCCTCTGCCTGTGACAGAGGCACAAGTGTCCTTGTGCACACTAGGATATCGCCACACGATGGACACTGCACCCACACGGCCTTCAGCCTGCAGGTCAGTGGTGTTGTTCTGTGAGGTCAACAAGCAGGGCAGGCCTGTGGCTTAGACCAACATGGAAGGACCTTGGAGAGGCACCCAAGTGCAGAGAGCAGCCTCCCGCTGGGCCAAGACGCACCCACCGCTTCCCAACAGATCTGATGGAGCTCGTGGGAGTGAGCTGCAGAAGGGGGTCTTTGGGCATCCTCCCTGCGAGCCCCAGGAGCTGAACAATGGTCAACAGTAACATGGTTTAAAGGTAAGGAGCAGGTCAGCAGCACTCCCGACCTTACAAAGTCCTCTGCCTTATAGCAAAGAAGGGCCCAGTCGCCCGGGTACAGCGGACCAGCACAGACACCAGCTTTGTCGTCAAGCTAGCGTGTATGCCAGATGTGACCAGCACATGCAACTTAAATAAGAAGTGGAAACTAAAACATCGCAAATTAACAAACAACAACAAAAAAAATCACTGGCACTCTGAGAAATGGCTAAAGTCAGGCTCTTAGCAAGTGTCTCGCTGCCCTTGCCACATCTCCATCGGTTTCATCCACCCGCGGTTGGATTCTGTCACTGCTCCTGGGACCGTATGCGGGGCACATGAGCTTAGGGACCACTCTTGAACGGTGGCGTGGAGCCCCAGGTCCGCAAACCCGCGATAAGCCAAAGCGCGAGCATGGGCAGTGACGGCCACAGAAAGCCCAGCACAGAAAAGGACCTCTCTTACTTCAGAAACGACGGGAAGTCTTCACACACGGCCTCGCAGCCCGGCCACTTGCACACGCCGTGTCCATACAGAGGATGGCTGTGGGGATGCTCTTCGTGGGACAGGCTGAAAGGGAAGCACAAGGACAGGTGTGACTGTGCTGCGAGGAATGTCCTGCAGGAGAGGACATCAAGGACCAGAAACCCACACCCTGGGCGGATGTGACGGGCCTCTCTCTTTTCCCCTGGAACTTACTGATTCCACCTTGGTTTTTGAAAGCAACACGGAAGCTACAAGGGTTGGAACAACACACTCCATACCCCTTTAGACACGATCACAGACACACCAGGCACCCATAGGGTGGTGCGTGGCAGTGTACCACAGGCCCCTGGTGGAAGGCGAAGCCCTCCCTGGGGACGGAGGCTTCTCCACAAGCTGCAGCTCTCCAGCCCCGTGATTCTGTCTCCAACCCACAATAGGACAGTTTTCTTCCTTTCTTCTCCTGAAACTGCTTTCACATATTTTTTCACACATAGTCTTATTCAACAAAGTAAAGTACAAGTTAATAATTCACAATAATAAAAGTAAAAGAATTTAGCAAGAACAATCCATCCAAATACACGATCAGGTTTTAGAAAATAACCTGGCCGCTCCAGGAAGACCACACTGCTGCCGTTCCCGACCCAGGCGAGGGTGAGCAGGAAGGGGTTAAGGCTCCAGTGGGGCTCCAATCGATGCGTAATGATTTGGCCACCGGATCCAAGTCACGGGGTGCTTTGATCAGAGCCATGTGGTGCTTGGGGAGGGGGGTCTGTCGCACTCCACGATGAACCGTCTACTCTAATATTTTCTCCTAGGTCTCTGCATCCAGACTTCTTTCAGACAAATTATTTTTACAGTCGTTTCCATAACCTGAGATTCCATCAAACAGAAATGTAAAACTAACAGTGAGAGCCTCCTTCCCACCAGAGCACGCTCCCTCCACGGGGAGGGCGGCCGGGAACTCCTGGGCTGCCTCCCCTGACTTTGAACTTCAAGCACTGAGAATTACGATCTCCCTCTCTCTCCCTCTCTGTCTCCCTCTCTCCCTCTCTCTCTCTCTCACACACACACACACACACACACACACACACACACACACACACACTCCGGCCTGTGTTTTATGTTACCGTCAGGATGTGTATTCATATCTGTTATCGATCCACATCCTCAGAGCTCGGGTACACAACTGCCACTTGTCCCTGACTTCTGAGACAATTAATTCCCAGTGAGAGTGCAGGGAGCCCTTAGAACCAGGAGCATTCACAGTTAACACACAGGCACACAGAGCGGCACCTCAGCAAGGGTGATCAGGTCCCTCTATGGCTTCTTAATGATTCTCTGGGAAATCGAAGATAATTTGGAAAGAAGGATGAACTCTTTTGCCCTAAATTAGAAAGCACAGAACCAGAAGCAAAACTAAACAGAAAAATGGCATGTATAAGTCCAGGAAGGTGACCCTCTTGTGAGAACAGCCCGGGACCAGGGCACTCAGGTAGCAGTGTGTGACAGAGCCCCTGGAAGCATATTTGAGAAGCAGTCAAGCGGGTGGAGCTGCCCTAGCCCCAGAGAGAGCCGCAGCGCCTGTTGATGCTCAGTGCCAGGCTGGTGCATGAATAGAAAAGGATATAAAGCTGAATTTAAAACAGTTACTGAAAATACTAGAAATGAAGGAAAACGTCAACAGTTCTAGAATTCTCACATGTTATAAGAAAATCATTAACAAAACAAAAAAACACAAAATGTGTTTCTATCATAGTTTAAGATAAAAAGAAAAGCTCCAATCCTTAGTATTTTCCTCACCAACTTATACTAAGACTTTATGTATTTATTCTTACCATACTAGGGATTGAACCCAGGGCCTCGTGCATGCTAGGCAAGCACTCTACCACGGAGCTAGACCCCCAGCCCTTTACTAACATTTTTTAAATATTCTCATACTTTTTATAAGAGCTAATATATTCATTGGGCAAAATTGGGAAAAGACTAAAAAGAAAAAAACTACCCTATAACACACACATGCTTTCCATACACATTTGCATGGAGAATTACATTATTCTTTTCCATCTGACATACTTTTGTTACTAACTTCTCATGTTATTAACCAGTCTTGGAAAATGCTCTTAGTGATGGGTGAGAGTCCACCACCTTAGCTTCAGCTGAGAGCTCAAACTATGCAGTCGATCCTCCTGTCTCAGACTGTGCAGATCCCTCGTGATCCTTCAATCTGAGTGTGACACTAGAAACAACCTGCACCGGGCAACCCATGCCAGCGCACAACCACTCCACCAGGAGACCCGCTGTGGGAGCCGAACGTCCATTAAGGAGGGCTGCGATTCAGAACCCATGGTCCTCAGCAGCCCCACCGCAGTGCTTTGTGGGATTCTTCAACTCGGAAGCCAGGAGCCTAGTGGGAACCGCAGGGACCGTCACCAGCTAAGGATGGCTAAGGGCTACACAGTTGCACCTCCTGGGCGAGGTGGGACGTGTGCTGAGAATGACAGGAAGGGCGGTAATGCATTCCTGGGACATACCCTGGGCACGTCCTGCTTTTGGGGCAACTTATTTTTGGTGTTGGGGATGGAAGCCAGGGTGCTTGACCACTGAGCAAATCTCCAGCCCTTATAATTCTTTTTTTATTTTTTTGAGACAGGATTGACTTAATCTTTGTTGTTGCAATGCTTTAATAAAAAAAGTCATTGGGTTCTCTTTGGCAAAACCAGGCACAAATGGATGGTGGATTTATTTGTCTGAAGGCTCCAAGGCCCCAGTAAAAACTACTCTCCTCTAGGAAGTTCCGTCTACTTCCACTTGGTGTCATGACCTCAAAGGACAGAGGAGAAACCACCAGGACCATGCAAGGACAGCCAGGGACATCCAAAGGCGAAAGAAACTCAGCCCCCTGCCACGCGAGACCCCACTGACTGACTCAGGAGGCCTCGTGCATGACGGCCGTTGTGATGGCGCATCTGTATTCTCCAAAGCCCACGCGGTGCCCAGCTGGTGAAGACAGTGCCCCTGCCCACCCAGCCCTCACCTCCCCGTGAAGCCTCGGCGCCAACATCCGGCTTCCACTCTGCCTCTCTTCTAACCGACCACTACCAGCAAAAAGGGAAACACCACGCACACTGCTGTCACTTCCTTTTCAGACAGACGTCAATGTCACCAAGGTCTTTCAAATACCTGTGACTGAGATGAAGGGCGTCTGGAGCAGGTCTTTGGGAGGAAAGAGGAGGCTGGCAGGGCCCTCAGGGGCATCCCTGGAAAAGACGGGGCCATACCAGACGTGGTGGCCTCTGGGGCTGGAGGCGGACTGTTCACCGTGTCCTGATTTGTGCCTTCTCAAGTTTCTATTTTGTGCTTTAAAGGAAAGCACGTAAGTGTTAGCTCCTTACACACCCGTGTGGGCACAGTGGAGAAAACTTGCGGGCCGGGTAGGACCTGACGTCAGCCCGCCAAGGGCTGTGCAGAGGTGCTGGGGAAGCCTCCCAGGCTGCAGGGGGGCTGGACGCGACCACAGAGCACTCTGGACGGGCGCTTTCATGTCTCCTCTAGGAGGAGGAACAAGCCTCGGTGTTCTCACTGCCTCGTGGCTCAGAAGGGACAAGAAGAGACATAGAAACTGAGGACAACAAGGTCTCTAACTCAAATGAATCAGAATTCCTTGCACAGGATGAGCCACGGTGGCCACTGACGACTCCAGCACTGAGGGGAGGCGGGTCTGGAGCCTCGGCTGAGTCGTCAGCTGTGCTCTGGCTCCCGGGCTGCTGGCTCCAGCACACGTGAAGGCCCGCTCGGCTCTGAAGGGATCTGGTCACGCCTGCCCCACAGGTGAACTCTAAAACATCAAGGGCCAATGACTTAATAATGTGATTTTTTTTTTCCAGGTGACTCCTAGGGTGGATATTCCTAGATGTAAAGATCACTGTCCATCTCCGCAGACTCAGCACCTCACACAGAGCACAGGCTTGATGGACGTCAGGAAGATTCGTGAAGACAGACAACGAATACATCGCTCTGTTTAATTTCTGTGCCAACATATTCTCAATTATTATGCAAAGCTACAGAAGATACCAGACACTTCCTATTATCTATCTGGACCTTATGAAATAGATACAGTGCGCTCAAGAAAAAGCAGTTGACTTGAGTTTTCTTGATCATCCTTGATCTGTGGAGTCAACGTGATCGTAACACAAGGAGAGTGACAGTGTTCCGATGAGAAGATCCGGTGGGCCCCAGGAGGCAGGACTCCACGTCAGCACGCCAACGCCACCAATGCGGTGGGTGCACAGTGTCACCCTCGAGGACACCTCCCTTTACTCTCCACACAGAAGCACGGGCCACAGCCCTCCCTCCAGCACTGGCCTGGGCCTCACAGATCTTCCAGAACAAGGGTGGTTCCACCTGGTCGGCTCAATTGCTGCCCCCCAAGTTTTCTCCCTAACCAAATCTTCCAACTAGAATCATTACGTCAACCCGGACAACTTCTCACTTCTGGGGACAGACGTCTCTAGCAACACTCAAAGTCCTATAAGATAGATCCCCCTGAGTGCCCAAGGGAAGAGGAGGAACCTTTGAAGGACACAGAAAATCTAGACCTGGCCGTAGCCCGAGACATTTCTGCCAACTTGAATGCCAATGTCCCTTCACCTGAAGCCACATCCTGAGCTCTCCCGTGCAATGTCCCATGACCCCAGGCCTGCCTTCAAATCTTCCCCTAATTTGTTTTCTACTCTTCCCAAATTTGCCTATTTTCTTCCTCATGACACGTCTCATTCACCTGTGGCAGAAGGTGACATACTGTGCCCAGTACTGAGGCCCATGCCAGAATCAGGAGCTGTGCTTCCAGGCCACAGCAGTTACCCGACAAATCAAGTCACGGAACGTCAATCTTCTCCAATCGCTCAAAGTTGCGGGACCCTCTGTTCCTCCTTTAAGTCCCACTGAATTATACTTCATACACCACACAGTCCACACACCCGAAGGGTCTCCTTCAATGGTTTCGAGTATGTTCCTCGAGTCGTGTGACCATCGTCACAACCTAATTTGAGAATACTTTTATTACTCTCCCAAACACATCTGGGACC